GATCGATCGAGGCGCGCGAGCGCCGACCGGAATTCGAAATCGACGCGGTTTTTCGCCCGCAGAAATTCCTCCGTGCAGAGGTGGTTTTAGATTTTTTTTTTTCGGATGCTTTTCCTACGGTCGATCAATCGCCGATCAATCGCGCTCTAGGACTCCGTCCGATACTTTTGGTTCACGCAAACGGTCGTCGAGGCTGTCTCTCGATATCAAACGGTTCGTCATCTCGTACGACTATCTCTCCCGCATTAACTCTTCGCTTATATACAATACGCGCGGATCGAACGCGTATCCTGTCGCAGTCCTCCGCGTAGTCCGAAACGCCGCATTTCGGGAAAACAACTGGGGGGGATTCGTTGGGCCAATAAAATCGTCGTCGCCCCGTTGCCGTAACCGAGCGTGTCGAAAAGACTGACTTTTTTCGCGGTGAAATTCGTCAAAGTCGAAAGTCTCCGCGTGTGGACACGACCCGACGACGACAACGGGCAAACAAACGCGACGAACAGAGAGAAATTAACAAAATAACGTGGACAATTGTCGATTCCGTTGGCTCGACGAATCCCACCTCGCTTGTATTTTCATTGCCTATCCTTTGGCTCTCTTTCGCTCTCTCTTTCTCTTATTCGCGATCTCTGGGTGCATTTCATTAAAATAACAAAAACCAAAAAGACAAGGGGAAAACAAAAACGAAACGATCGTATGCGATCGCGAATCGATCTAGTCGTCCGAATAAACGTGTCGCCGATGAAGATTTTGTCGCGATTTAACGAATCGAGTTCCGAAAGATGCTAATAGATTCTACGCGATCGACGATTACTCCGTCGTCTCTCTTCTTCCCTTCCTCGTTTTCCGATCATCGTTCTCCTCTTTCCCCAAGATACGACGAAAGAATTCGGTAAAACTTCCTTGGGGCGTCCGTCGAATCCGAAGCAGCCCCTTCGGTTTCATTCGGAAAATTTCACAAAATTCGAGTTCACGAGTCGAATAAAACGCCGACACTCTCCGACCAATTGAGCAAATAATCACGGAAACCGTGTCACCGATAACGCGCGTAATCCCGCCACGGAACGTCGACTCCGCGGAGCTGTGTGTCGCCTAATGAAGCCGTATCGATCGCGCCCGGAGAAATCTTAGGGAACCCCATCGTTCTCTCGCTCGCGATTCGATTGCAAGTTGCCGATTTTTGGGAATAGGCGGTCTAAACTGGCCGAAGGATTCCGCTCGGCCGGTCCTGCGAGAAACCTATCATTAGAGGGCCAAGAACGAGGATGGATCACGGAAACGAGCGGGTCTTTGGAACTTTAAGCGCGTTATAACGAGTCGGTCGCACGATGATCCCCGTGATCTATCCACCGTCGGCCCTGGGACCCGCCGGTTTTACGGTCGCCCTCCCCTTATTAAACTCGTAGAATCTCGGTAATAGAGTTGTTTCGGACGATAATGTGTCACCTGTCCCAGCTTTTATCCCGGGATATACACCGGGGCCCACCCGGACTGTCGAATCGTAGTTTAAATATTTTATAATTCGGGGCTGCGCGATCGTTTCGATCGCTTAACAAGATCTTTATGACTTTTTAAGCGTTATTTTCGTTGGTTGGCAGTTAAAGCGTCACGATGAGATATATCGATGCGATGAAACATAGCTAGTTTCAGGGAAGAAATGCAAAGTGTTGGGAATTATTTAGGGTATCGAGTTCAACCCTTGTGATCGGACCACGTTGGACATTCCTGAGACGAATTCAACGTTGGAACAGCGTTGCTGCTGGTACACCTTTTCTACGAGCGTGTTTTTAAGCTATAGAACGTAGGCAGAGGAGACAGGTACACAAAGCGTTGGTCTGCTATTTGAAAAAACAGTGACGGGGTTTCGCGCGATTGCTCAGAGTCCCGCTAAAGCTACTCGGGCATGCAGATCGCGTCAAGGATCGTCTCGCGGGCGTACGCGTTTCGCATAATTCCCGCGCGCGTCGAGAAATTCATTCGACAGGGTTTTTATTTTTTCTTCTTCTTTCGCGAGACGACTGTCGGTGGATTTATTCCCGCGTCTATGGAACCGAATCGCTGGAAGATGAATCGAACTCGATCGAGAAACGGCAGCGACGACAAGCTAGGCGTCCCTTTTCGCGATACACTCGGAACACCCTGCGAAGAGCCTACCGGAAAAAAGAAAGAAGAAAAGACGCGGGTTCGTTTTGCGTAGGCCCGCGGTACATGCACCGGGCTGTACCTGGCCTCTGGACGATCACAAGCACCGAACAACGTCTTGGAAGAAAGAGAGAGAGAGCGCGCGCACGTATGTGTGGGAGACGGAGAAAATAAACTCTGGAGAAAAAGCGAAGGGACGAAGAAACAAACCGCGTGACCACCTACGCGCCGAAAGGCGTTAAAAAAGGAGCCCCGAGGACGCGATCTCGCGTACAATCGGCGATGACTTATTCGTTGCGCAATATTCTAGGAGAAACAAGCAACTTCTTCGTGGTACCTGAACGGTGGTAACAGACGAGAAAACAATTATAACACGGTAAATTTATTAACGTTCCTGCTGTTGCTCCAGATACGGGCACGGAACGTGTTCGACTAGGAAGCGGCGCGACGAAAAACAAGGAAATCGATTCTGAGAGTGAAACCTGCCCGTTCAAAGTATTCCTGCGGCGTGTGGCATCGTTAGTTTCATTTGCAAAGAATCGTGACAGAAGACGCGTATCTTTCGCGCCTGGACTTTCGAAACAGAAGGAAACACAGAAGATCAGGCGTTTTGTTCGCGCGAAAGAATACGGTGGTTGTCGAAACGTGTGGAAACCATCGAGAAGAATTTCTCGACGCTTTGGCCTTTGGTTGCAGCCGATCTAGCGAAGGACCGATCGTGTCTAGACGTCGATCGCCCCGTCATCGGCGAATTCGTCGATTCGCTAAACCCCGGACACGCACGCGGTTTCGAGAACTTTTTCCCACGTACTATCGCGACAACGTCCTAATCCTAATATGTACAGCCAATCGAGAGAATGGAGGGAAAAAGTCACGAGTCCGCCATCGCGACCAGGCGAACCGAGGGACGACAAACAATCGGAATGGATTAACTTGCTCGCGAAAAAAATCAGACACGAATATGCGTAAGTCCCGAGGCCAATCGCAGAGCAGTAAACAATGGAATTTTCTTTTATACCCGGGCGCTAGAAATCATTAACGGATGAAATATACGACTTCGATCGCGCGTCGAATCGTGTACAGCGATAAATCGAACGGAAAACGAACTCCTCGCGAAGGGAAGAACTTCTGTATCGAAGTCGAGAGATTCGATACACGGTGGAGAAACGAGAAGCGCGTAACCGAAGAGAAGAAGAGAACGCAGAGAGAAAGAGATGTGTTTTCGCAATGCCCGGCGGCAACGGATCAACGCAAGTTTCTTCGCTCTGCGATTAGCCTCCGGGCAACAGAATGACAATAATAACATTAATAATAGTAATATTAATAATAATCGGTAATAATAAAGAATAATAATAAATGACAATAAAGAGATGACGAATAATATAGTAGCAATAATAATAAAAACCATCGTAATAATGACAAATAATAATGACAGACCTATCTCGTTGTTTACAATAGTTCCTTTTTTTGTCTCGCGAAACTATGCCTCGATAATAAAAACGTCGCAAATAATATATATATATATATATATATATATATGATATAACTACAACCTCTCGACGTCGCCATAGATTTCTCTCTCATATACATAGAAGCTAGGATTCGGCACACGTTTCCGGACACGCGCGTATTTTTTCCCCGTTCAAACGCGTGTCCTTTCTGTTATGTCTTTTCGGTTTACTTTTGTCGCGTCGCGCGTCATTCCCTCCAATTTTCGATTCCTTGCAGCTCCCTCGTCCCCGACGGTCGAGTCTCGTTAGCTAGTCCGTCGGTGGCGACGATGACGACGACAACGACGACCACGACGACGAAGAAACCGTCGACGTTGCGCGTTCTCTCACTTAACTTACTAGCTTTATCTAGTACATTATTTACAGTCCATATTTACTTATGTTACATCATTCGGCGGG